CAAGGGATGTGTGATTGATTTCCTTCAGATTGTTCTGCCATTTGAAGAAAACCCTCCAGAGAATGATAATGAACACAGATTCCTTCCTATGACAGCGTTTGGTCATTGTACACATCCCTTGCAGCTTGATGTAATTTAAAAAAAGCCACAGGATGACTTTCGATCCTTTGTTGTGTATGCTAATGTGCAACATGGTTTAGGACGTGAACTCAGTGAAGCCAGCCTGATTTGCCACCAACTGGCTCTTTTTTTCTGGTTTGAATTACCGGCATGATGAAGTTGTTGTTACACGAAGTTCTGGAACGGGATTCCCGGCTCATGTTAGTGCATACCCAAGTAGGTTTTTAACTGGATAGAGGATTATGATTTTAAGTTTTTTGGTCAACTCTGGGTAGTATCGGGAGTAGAGTTATCCTCACTAAATTGATCAAAACGATCCAAGGGTTCTCCCAGAGTTATTCAGAATTTTCACTCGATTTTGCGAATAAATGACATGACCTTGTCAGATTTAGTGAAATCATCGTTTCAGTATCTCTTCAATCACCCTAGTTTTCTCCGAGAAGAACCAAGTTCATTTGTTAGTACCAGGAGTTAACTAGGAGGCATCCAACACAGCAGAATTCGATGATCAGACATCCTGGCTGTCCACGTTGATTGCTGGCCATGTCAAACAGTGCTTGCGCTTTCTGAGTTTTGGAAAGATATATTTTCCACTCAGTAGTCGTTGGTCAAAACTGCGGACATTAACCGGTCCTTTATTTGAGAAAGTTTGGATCCCCATCCAGTCTTAGAAATTTCTAGAGATGAATAAAACGGTCCTTTTAGGGGTTAAAGTCCCCAACTGCATGAAGGTGAATTCTAAAGACCGAATAAGACAGTGTGAACGTCGGCTTCAGTTTTGCGTATTTTCAAAAACAAAGAGGTAAATAATATCTTTTCAACCAAATTCTAATGTTAATACTCAGGTGAAGGAAGGCTGTGAACTCAATATTTTCAGGATAAGGTCAGGATTTGATCTGACTTGCTGCACTAGTAACGGGATTAAGGACCATATAAGGGAGTTACTTTTTAGTTGGGAAAGTTTGTCGACAAAGGCATCGCTGCACGGATTATCACTGCTTACTTCTAGTGTCCCTCGTAAACAGTGTGATAAAAATATGCTCCTCTTCGGTTGAATACACGGCCGTTTGTACCAATCTTGCCTGTGGCTTCGTGAATATTTGCAAATGACTTTGTTTGTATTTGAGTCCACTAAAGGCGCTATACCGGGTAATCGAACGAAATTACACATATAGCTTACAACTACAGATAAACTACGGTTTAAAGCTAGATTCTTCCGTGCTCGTCAGCATGTTGGCAGTCTCAGACTGAATCACCTAGTGAGGGCGATCTCGAATATAAAATGATATGGATTTGTGGTGAATTTAGGTCTACCGGCAAACATGTGGCCACACGTCGATCTCAGGATTGCGTAGTATGAAGAAACCAAGAACTTAACGTCGAAAAGTGCACAAGGAGAGTAGTGGAACAGCAAGACTTTATCGGTTTATGCACATGTGAACGGATACCCTCTATTTTTCAACAGCTCTGTTCGACTGTGCAGATGATTGGAGCAGTTTTAACCTCACCATAAGACAATTTCCTCAAAGAAAGTTATACATGTGTTTGTGTGCCAAACGATACCTCCAACGTAATTGCTTCTTCTAACACGGTCCATCAGTAGAACGTTCCACTTATTGCTCTGGTCACTGTTACTGGGTTATACATGTGTTTGTGTCCCAAACGATACCTCCAACGTAGTTGCTTCTTCTAGCACGGTCCATCAGTAGAACATTCCACTTATTGCTCTGGTCACTGTTACTGAAGCTGCCCGTTTTAACGAGCAGGACAAGTAATGGAGTTTTTCTACCCGTGCAAAAGATGTAGTAGAGTGGCTTTACAGTCTCATGGAAACAAAACATTGGAGACTAATAGACAAACTATTTAAACTCGTACACGTGCCAGCAACACGCCTGGTGTTTCTCTCTTCAATCAGTCCAGACAATTGTGGCCATCAACTACAGACAGAATCCGTCAAGTTCTTGTAAACACGACAGACGTGATTGACATGTGGTCTCCTATAGTTTGCTAGTGACCTTTCAACCTATTAATATAGTCTGTGTGCCACAAATGATGTCGAAGACTGAAGAAAAGTTTTGCTTCGAGGGAGTTACAAACCACTGTCAGAAGTGAACAGTTTGTTTTTGTTGACGACTGTCCATTGGTGAGTGTTGATGGTACAGGTGTGTTTAGATTTGATTATTTTTGTGATCGCATCTTGGATCCACCAAACAACATTGAGGTAGTGAAATTTACTTTGAATCGGTTCGGACAACACAAAGACCAGCAATCTCTGAGTTACTCAGAATAATTTCACAAGACAACTGGTAATTCCTTCTGAGAAGACCTAACTCGAGGAACCCTTCAGTACGTGACCACGTGGTGTGGTTTCCAGCAGTAGAGTACGAGTGGTGCTTTATGCCGTGTAAGTGCGAGTGAAGTACACCGCTGATCAGTCGCTCGTTGTCGATATATTATGTTTAGACTACCGGCCGGGAGGGTCGAAGGTTCAAAACTCTTTGAAACTTCGTGACATATGCACTGTCGATGATCCCTGTTGAGGATGAAACAGTCGCACAGTGCTTCTCGGTTTCGCTTACAAGTCGAAACCTCAATTGAAACCACCCGTATTTACTAGATTACATCGGCTTTTGTTTTGCCCATAGGTAAAAACCCAACAGGCAAGACTGTGAAACAGAGTATCTAACTTATGATGTCCAATTGGCCGCAATAGCCCACTATCAGCTGAACTGGATGAGAATTAAAATTGCAAGCTTGAATGACTTCGACTCAAAAACGTACATCAACGGAAGGCATTTTGTGATCTCGCTACACCCTGAAGGTCGCATTATTAAATTTCGGGGTCTGCTATGCGGTAGAGTATGTTCTTCACCCATCTACTGTTCCAGTTCAGGTCCTCACGTGTCGCACCGCCCCGTTTAAATTTTTCACCTGAGGTCATGCCACAGCAAAATAAGCAACAGATAAAACATAAAACATGATGTGTCCGTCTGCGCTGCTGCGTAATAAGACCAAATTTACGGACCCCCCTAAGGATGGGTTCGGGTGAGTTCGGGTATCCCGATATCCTAACTTGATCCTTGTCGAATTCGGTCGACAGAGCATGGGTATCCTATTAAGTTATCCATTTTCCTGAACGATGCCTTTTGAAGGTATTTTGTCACCAGGTCGTACATTTTGAGCGCTTTTTCACTGGGACAGGTGCAACCATTGATCCGCTTCCTGTGGCTAAGTTTCGCAACAAATCAAATAGCTGCATATGGGACGAAGCAAAACTGATCTCAGACTGAATGATGAAGTTGCCAGCGCATTGTTTCACATCGCATCGGCTTTGCATCGAACTACGAGACAACTTTAAGTGTTGGTGTGGTGTTAGACGGAACGACGAGTAACAGCGCAACGATCTACAGCTGCAGAGTCTGAATATTTACGCACATCTATATATATACATATGGTGGTATTTTTTAGTGCAGGCCTCAGTACAGGATATCGGGTTGGTAGAGAACCACAATAGCAGCCAAATAAAGATAATTTTGTAGTCAGTCGGCATTTCTCGACGAATGGTGTACGCGTATTTAAGGCATACTTTTTTATACCTGACTAAATTACGCAAGAATTGGTATTCCCGGCAAAACCTCCATGCAGTCACCAGCTACAGAATTTTACGGTTCAACACGTTTGTCATGCTACTATATCCTGTAAATTCTAGCCTAGTTTGAGGTTCGGGATGATGATTGATCGATTAAAAACCTGGTTCAATGAAACGGACATACAGATGTACTTAAAGTGTGAACTTCACATTGTTATAATATGGGAGGTGGCTCAGTCCAACAAGTTTCCACAATAAGAAAACACTCAGTGCAATCTTGCTGTTTACCATGTAAATAATTTTAGGCAGAGTTGAAACGTCAGTTCTCAAACATCCGGACTGTCAGGATACAATAACTTTATGCTCCACTGAAGCTGGTGACGTCGGGTCGACAAGGGTAAGTCACCCAAATCTCAGCTAAATATAAGAAATGAAGATGTGAGCCTCGTCTTTACAGCCTAGAGATAACGATATCTTCACCAGTTTCGGACGGTTTCGCTGAAGCAGGTTCCCTGAATTTCGCCAGTAACCACCGAATGGCTGTCTAGATCACCTCACCCTTTCTAACTATCTGAATTTGGCTCAAAAATATAACCCGATTGCGTAATACAACCTCGGATTCTCAAAGTAGTCAGTTGATTGCATAAGCTCCACTGGACAACATACAGGGATATGATTTTCACTACATATCATGGGGTTCTTGAGGCGTGTGCCATCAGAATGAATTTTGTTACACAATAAAATACTATCAGGGTGACTTCTGAAAGTTCCTTCATGGGAAGTTACATGAATAAAGCATATATTTATACATAATCAGAAACACCACAGTATCCAGTCGTTCAGGAAAAGCCGTGAAGGCGAACTTCTGTATCCAGAAACAGAATTTGGGACATGAAATTTTTCAATTTCTCAAGTCTTCCACCAAAGAGAAATGTTTTGTTTTCCCTGCTGGCCGACTTATTTCCCGAGGGAAAACGCTGCATTACAAGCACCGTGTTTTGTGCTCCGGATCTATCTATTAGCTATCACCCCAGAGATGGCTCACGCCATACTCACGATTGGTCTACCATTTTACCACCTCATTTTACAGTTTGTCAGTTTACTTAGCCGATAATTTGGCTCCAAGCAGGCAGTCGACTGTGTGAAAGAACGTTTCACAATTTTAGAATCCACTGAAAGCAGTCATATGAGAAAATAAAACAGAGCAGTTATCTAGTTTACATCATTTGCGAGCCCTTTTGTTGCATGCAGAATTACATCATCGTGAGAATACCCGTTCAGCAGTTGCTAAGTTTATATGGATAAAAATAGCTCAGATTTACTGATGAGGTGATCAGTAGAGATGTTTGACAAGCTGTGCTGATTCGGATCAGGCAAGTGACAAGTACTTGTATGAAATATCCGGTACACCCCATCACTATCCCAGTGAAGCCGTTCTGGTACATTCATATGGAAATGATATTCCACTATCTTAAGTTAAGTTATTTGAAAGGCAAAATTCGGGATGAAAACGCGTAAAATCGCTGTGTACTTCTTTGATACCTAGCCTCAACATTTTTCTGAACAGAATATGAGCTTTAAAAATCAACCTCCTGGTGCTCCAATGAGTCTATCACTTAAACCATTGATAGCAGGGTGAAAAACTAGCCAGTAATTGTTTTGCGCTATAAAACACCGTTCATTTTGTTTCAACTTGAGACATCCTGAAATCTTTTATAATGTCATCATAAGGTTTTCAACTGAACCCACCAAGTTTTATCAATAAAATCATGCAGCATTACTCTGAGCTCATTTTAAGGGTACGCTACGCTTTGGGGGTTTTGCAGCAGCAATTGAAAACCCACTGACACATACACCAAGTTTTATAAAAAAAAATAATGCAGCGTTACTCTGAGCTCATCTTAACGGTACGCTACGCTTTGGGGGGTTGGCAGCAGCAATTGAAAACCCACTGACACATTCTAAGTACACATCAAATTTCGACCTTTGTCGCAACACTTCTGAATTCCGATGAAGTCTTTCAACTGATTTGTGGTAACACTTTCATCAAAGGCCTAATATGGCTCGAAACTCTAAGCATTTGGATCGAAACCGTCATTCTTCGATGATATCAAACGCCATCTGAAAGCCGTAGTCAATGTGATGTCCACTTTGCTGCACAACTTTGAATTTGGTCAACTTTCAGGTTGATCTCAAAGTAGTGGATGCAGCTACTATTATCCCAATGGGATGACACACGTCTTCCAAGGCGAATGGTATGCCTAAAAATTGACGACTGCTTCTGTGTGGAACTTCAAGGGCGAGTCCAGGTATGTTGCAGGACAGTTAACTGTGTGCTCTCCACTGAACACTATGAATATCACTTCTTCAAAAGCATCTGTTTAATACTTTTACACTAGTTAAAATGAAGTCATATTCAACCTTACGTTTCACCAGTTACTCACAGCAGATTCGCCGCAAGAAGCAGTTGCCCTGCAAGCAGCAGAAGGCCTGTGACGAGGAAAAATTATTTTACAGCACTGGTTTGTTTTTCATATCTACCCAGACACTTATTTCAATGTCTTAGAAAATAAGGGACAGGAATTAGCAAGTAATCACGCGCCTGTTCCAGCCAATACTTACTAGATCATTTAATGTAAAATTGATGTTTTTATTCATGGCATTAGTATACACGGGCGCATGATATAAAGTTAATTAGAGGCAAAAAGAAAAGAACACTACTTCTATGCATGTTGAAAAACAACAATTTAGGTGTTTCAGATGGGTTTGGTAAACAATCGGTGGATTTATTGCTTGAAAACAATTTAGGTGGTTATACGCCTAACGGAATATGTTTGTAGTAGATGTGTAGAAGGATGCTGCTAGTAATAATCGAAGTAAAAGTTCTGGTTTAGGACAGGTCGGAAGAACACACTTTTTCCTTAACCGTTGTTGCCTGGAATGGTTCTGAACAAGCAGTTCTAGGAGTGAACAAACAAACTTTCGGGACTTTGATCATTCAAGCATCAACCCATCTTCTTGATGCTGCTCACTCAGTTGAGCGGTTACCATCAGCAATATACCACACATTTCATCACCCAAAATCGAACGAGTGAAACTTCGGAGCAAATTTAGGCTCCATCCAACCATTTAGGCATGATGGTGGAGATGGAAGACAAGAGTCGGTCAAGAGAGACTACAGGAGGAAACCCACGCTTCAGTTTAAAGCTAGGGATGCGCGTTGTCCTGGTTAATGAATGGTCTAAGATAATATTTAGATCAGCAAGAAATACTATATAGAAATGCTCTCTTTGTAGTAACGGTTACTTCTATATAAGGGCTGATCCCACCCCAGGGATTGAAATTAATTCCTTCTGCAGTTAAAGGTCACCAAATATAAGAAAACACCACTTCTACTGGGTTGATTCAGATGGTCTCCCTAAAGCGCAGAACTGCACCAGTAAGTCCAGGAAGAACGCTTAAATGCATCAAACCTCTTTAGACTGATGATGATTGAAAATAAAATAACAAGGATTTGAATTTATTCAGTAGGGTTAGTTGGTTACTCCCACAGCCGCAAATATTTTTGCATCTCTAATTACAGCAAGCTTGCACTCCCGCCATGGCGTATACTTCAGGGCCATTCGGACAAACATGTAAAAGATAAGCACCAAGAACAGTGAACTAGTTATACTTGTTTAAAGGTTCCATTCAAGGAAAAATCTCTGGTTCACCTCCAGTAACTTTTCATTATGAGAGGTGATAGTGCAGAGCAGCCGTTCTTTAAAGATCCAGCTTATCGTTGTTTTGCTCCCAATGCATTACGCGGTCACGCCATCATTCTGCATGCAGTTCATGAAAATTAAATCCACTACAGTTGAAGAGGACGGTATTCTTTATGTCGAGGTGGGGTTCGGACAGTCACCAAACTTCTGAAGAGCAGTAAACACTTCGAAAAATGTAGCAGTTGCCTGTACTACCTCTGTGGAGGCAGAATAACGCTTCTGAAGGTTTTATTGCTCCACTCGTAGTTTTCGCTCCTCATATAACATCTTTTATCTAAAAAGTGTGTTAATTCATTATTTATACATATTACACACTAATGCTGGTATTTATCTCCGTGATAAACCTCACAACCTGCTTTCTAAATGTGGAGTAAGAATGTGCACTTTGAGATGTTTTGAACTACAGAGCAGACATTAACATGAGATGGGCGTAGGGCTGACTGAACTCTGTAGTAAAGGTTGAATGAGGAACATTCTTTACAAAATTTGGCAATCTGGTATTCAGCGCGACAAACCGCCAAGTGGCAATAAATCAGTGAATGTGTTGGAATGCTATAACCACGTGAACAACGTTCACAATCGGACAGAGCATACGTGGAGTACTGTCCGAATTGCCGTACCACAAACATTGATTACGATAAAAATGGTATTATGCTAGTGCTGTGACTGTGCATTAGAAGGCTGGCAATAAGACGAACATCCTTTCGAAATATTGGACTTAGTTGCTGCGGACATTACCATCATTGTCAAAGTAAAAACGTATCACTTGGAGGGCAAAGTCCTTAGCTAAATTGCAACCGCAAATTCGTGGATGGGTCGAAGCTTGTGTGATCCAACCCTAAACATCAGTCACGAAATATTTTACGCACGTTTTCATCAAACGCAACTTCGCAGAAGTGTGTTTTCATTGCGTCGGCGTATAAGAATCTACAAGCGTAATTTGTGCCCGCGCATCTCTGTACCCAACATGACGCAGAACACCAATATCAATAGTCCCTGAGACTGTACGCGTACAAAGAATCACTGCCGTTCGCATCTAGAGCAAGCGACCCCATTTATATTCTGGAAATTATGCCCCCAAAGTCAGTTTCTACTGCGCTTGCCGGGATTCCATCTTGTTGAAAACAGACTGTATACAAAGTGAGTAAAGTTTGCAAAATGAGTTCAGGTACAGCAGGTCGATGTCATATTGATCCAGCTGCTCCGGAGCTGCGTCAAAATAGAGATGGTATAACGAGGACCTTTTATCCAGACTGTTCGTAAACTCCATCCGAATGGGTTCGGAAAAATTGGCCACCACAAGTTTTGGATGATATTTTCTTTATATGTGCAGTAAGTGGATGAAGATTTTCCATCATGACCAAAGTGAACAAAGAAGCAAGATAGATGGCAGAAACTAATAGTAATAATAACGTTAATGGTTTGCTTTGACTGGCTTGATACTCTTATACATCCCGAATGCTGCAAACTCATTCTTTACTGTTTCTCACAGACAGTGCCAATTACAACCGATCCGGTTCATAAAGACTGTATCTGAGGGGTCAACCTGAAACTGTGGGTAAAACTGTTCTCCTCTGGATTTTTAAAGCAGGTAAAAGCTATCATAGGCAAGCCTGAAGTGCCTCCCGCCAAA